TATTACCTTTACACCAAGCCATCCTTGACTTAATGAAGAGAACCACCCCCTCCTAACAACAACAACAACAACAAAAAACCCCTTCCTTGTTGGGCTCTTCATTTCCAATACTGCCCAACATCTGTATCTAAGTCTTTCTTATTATGCAGTAGCCAGAGGGATCATGTTACCATCTGAGTCACCCCAAGTCATTGCCTCCACCTACACAACTCCAGTGGCTTCCAGGTTCACTAAAAGAAGGATCTAGGGACGCCTGGGTGGCTCAGCGGTTGAGCGTCTGCCTTTGGCTCAGGGCGTGATCCTGGAGTCCTGGGATCGGGTCCCACATCGGGCTCCCTGCATGGAGCCTGCTTCTCCCTCTGCCTGTGTCTCTGCCTCTCTCTGTGTCTCTAATGAATAAATAAATAAAATCTTTAAAAAAAAAAAAAAAAGAAGGATCTAAACTCTTGTACAAAGGACCTTGCATGATCTGGCCTCTTCTTACCACAACAAGCCAGTCCTGTGAGATTGTTCCTCTGGCTTTCTTACCAGCTTCCCGCAACTCCCTTCACCAGGCTCCCTTCACAGTCTGAATCACACTAACTTATCATCTGTCTTAGAATCCTTACAGTTGCTTTTTCTTTTTTTTTTCTTTTTTCCTTGCCTGAGAACAACTTTTGCTTGCCTTTTCCATATCTGTCACCTTTAGGGCTCAACTTAAAAGACTTTCTTCCCCACTGTATCTGAGACAGGCCCTTTACCCAATTAATTCTCTGTCTTATCATGCTACTAGATTGTTCCATAGCATCATCTTTCATATCTTCCTTGTTTCTCTGTTATTTTTCTCCCTCTGCACTGCTTAGCTATAAAGTTCACAAGGGCCTGTGTCTGATTTAGAATAATATCTTTACAACCTCACATTGTTCCTGTGGTTTCTACACGGCGGTCTCAAAATCTATCAGTTCAACAACTGAATGCATAAATTGAGAATGACAAATTCAAAAGAGATGAAGTTTCATTTTTCTGTTGCCCTGTGGATTTGAAGTGTTCTTTTGCCTACATATTTACAAAAGTAGTAGGTGATATTTAAATAGACCTCCAATTAATATGGCTAGCATGTGGTTAGTGCATTAATTTAATTTTTAGGTTAGGATATAGATCATCTGAAAACATTGCAAGAGTATTTTTATTTGTGGGGGAAAATTATTCCAAATTTACCTAAGTGTATGTACTTCTCTATATTTGCTTTTCCATTTTAAAATGTTATTAAAGCTTTAGAATAAAAGTTCTCGCTTCACTCCTTTGGGGGGAAACGTAGTTTTGCTTATTTTAATAACCTACTTAGGAACCAGAATGTTAATGAAAACTTCACTCTTGGTAAACAGGAGGATGGAAGAAAGCCTTGGAAGTGGATGTAGCAACACAGCAGCTCCCTAGTCTGTTAGTGGCCTATTAGTAGTTTTAGGGTTCTGAGCAATTCATTGGCACTTCTCTCAGCCCCCTCTAACACACTGACGATGCCCACCCTGCTGATCTCGTTGTGTCGTTATGACAATCTCATTAAACATTTTATGCCAAATGGTTTCCAAACTATAGAGGTTTCCAAGCTTCACCAGTGTGAAGCCCCACCATGCTGGCGAGCAACCTTGCAAAACTGACCTCATGCTCTGCTCCCATCTCAGAGAGGTTGTGGAAGATGTTCTAAGGCAATGATCTCTTGTTGAAGTATTTACTATTCCAGATCAGAAGCCTCAGAAGATTGAAATGCACGAGGGTTTGTGTAATCCCTCAATAAATTCAAGTGGTGAAGGGCTGACTTCCTAAACTATCTCCTGGTGGTTAATCCCTTAGCTATGCATTTTTTTTAAGACGGCGCCAGCATAACAGTGTTGCAAGTGGTTAAGAGCACAGGGGAAGGACTTCCTAGCTGCTTTGTGGAAGGGTTCACCTGTGTGCCACTTCTAAGCAGGTGAGGGCTACTTCAGGATGACAGCAGACTGATTTGTCAGAGGCCAAAAGAACTATACCCCTTCAGAAGTCCCAATCTGGCTCCTCTCACCGTGCCTCCTTCCTTCTCTTCTCACCTTTTCCCCTTTTCTTCTCCAATGGGAGAACGTGGGAGACAAGGGAGAGGAGACCCTGGAGGGATGAAAAGAAGAGAATCATTTCAGTTCCTTTTACTTCCCTGTTGCAAGCTGTGCTGCTGAGTTAAAAATATGTAATTTAGTTTCCAAATCTATTCCAACCCCTGCCGGCCTACTGAGCAATCACAAACCATCCAATTTCAATTCAAATCTTTGCTTTTAGCTTTATTTTAAATGGAACACAGCTAAGTTGTATAAACAGATATAAAGTAAATGCTCTACAAAGAGCAGAGGTAGGATTAAAGGAACCAGGAAGTAAATCTGTATTTATAGCACACTGGTCAAAATCCGAATTGTTTTCATTTTATTTTTAAAATGCCAAACTTTCCACAAAGTGCTGAAGTGTCAGAGAAGGGACCAAACTTACGGTATCCAAAGTCTGTACTAAGAATGAGTTTTCCCATTATTTTCAGTGATGTTCACTTATCCTGTAAACAGATTACACGGTTTCTGCAGGTGAGAATTACTATTCCCCTGTCACTTTGGTGTGCTATGCATTTACAGAGAATGGCCCATTTCTAAAAAATCGCATGTACCACAAATATTTATGAGTAAGAAAAAAAGCCCGCGCTATAGAGTAAATGTTTACTGATTAATCAACTGCTCACACTTGAAGTCAGGTGAATTCAGCCCTTCCCATAAAACTATCAAAGTATCTGCAGGTGGGTAATGCAGATCACTTGGTGGTGACAGGTAAAATGACTAATAATGCCCTGGAGACACTTCAGCACTACTGCAGCTAGCCAAAATCTAGTAGTGGCTTACACAGATTGATCCCATTCATTTTATTGTCTTTATAGTATTATGGGAGAGGGTAGTGGGTAAAAAGGATGCATCTACAGTGGAGTCCTCCTTTTTGAGTCATATTTGTATTTATAACCAATGGGACAGGATGCTACCTTAACTTTCGCCATTTAATAATAAATCCGTATCGTTTCAGTTATGACTTTTCACTTTAATTTATGTTCAGGTCCATCAATTCTCTAATAAATATTCAAACTCATGTGATTCGATATTTCTGTTATTTTCCCCCCCTTACTTAAAATGTCACGTTTAAAACCCTGATGGGCAGATAAATCCTCTTTTATTGATATAATAGAGTCTTCGACGCTATCACATCATCTGAAATATTCTCCACAAGATTCTTTTTTGGATATAAAGTGATAATTTCCCAGTCACTTGTGAGAGATCGTGCATTGACAAATGATTCACTTCTGCAAGGAAGCTTCTTTTCAGATTTGCATGAAGGCAAATGCAGTGCTGAGCATCCTACTGCTGGAGAGGCAATGTGAGAAGAACTAGGAGAATCTTTTCATCCTTCTCATCCATATTTATCACCGTCAACACACAAAAACTCAATTAATATCCTCAATGGCCGCCTATAACCTCCTCAGTAAAATCCAGAAAGAAGTTTGGGATCCGAAGACCCGATTTCAGCCAACCATTAATATGCTATGTGTCCCTGTATAAATCACTTTCCATTTCTAATCTTCGGTGTCCTCATTTGTTAAATGAGAAGAACCAGACTAATCAGGCTCCGAAAAACCGTCCAGCTCCACTCTCTCCAATTCTCTTTTATTTCTGACCATTCTTTCAGACCTGAGACCCTGTAACTCTCTCTTTCGTGGGGATGTCCTGCTCCCTTTTATTTCTTCCCTTCCCTCCTCATCCCATCTCCTATACAGTCTCAAAGGAAGCCTCCTGTTCCCTGTGCACCTCCTGTCCTGTGATGCTCGCCACACAGCATCCGATACCCTCTCGATCTTCACGAGTTTGTCTCTTAAATGGACACCCTGACCTGGGGTCACATCCTGCCCATGCCACTTACCGACTGTGAACTTGAACTGGTTACTTAACTTCCCAAGCCTCAATCTCTTCATCTGTAGAATGGGGGTAGTGAGAGCTTACTCTCAGTAATGCCTTATGAAATGCCTCGCCTCTATGAAAACTCAGATACATAAATACAATATTAGTGGTTATTACTGCTGCAACCACTACTGGAGGCTCCTTTAAGATAGAGCCCGTGTCTTGTTCATCTCCTCTCCCAGTAGATAACTAGTTCAGTGTAGTTAGAGACAAGGGACCAGAAGGTGGTCAGCAGACCTGAGCTGACACTTGGGATGAAGTCACGGGTTCCCTCTCCATTGGACTGAGCCGGGGGTTTGAGGCTAAGAACCCTATGTGGAGGATCTGGGGACGCGGTGCCTGGCACAAGGCTTGCCACACAAATGCTCCTTATATAAGCAAAGGGAACACGAACATGAAAAAGAACAACAGGACGGTGAATGGATGCGCCTCTGCTAGAGTCACTATAAATAGTTGGGGAAGAAATAAAGCTGAAAACACCTCGGACTTCAAAGTCTTAGGAGGGGAGCCGAAGCCACGTCCCCCCAAAAAGTGAGAATCCACCCCACGGTGGAAGAGAGCAGGGAGGGCCTGGGCTCCCCAGCAGAGCCTGCAGCTCGTGCCCCAGTTTCCCGTCCTAGGTAGAGCACGGCGGCGGGGTTCTGGCAGAGGGACAGGTGCCACGTGGGAGGACAGGGGACTTGGGATCAGTCGCCTCAAGTGCAACCCGCGCGGGGCAAGGCGGCGGGGGCAGGGAAGCCCTTTCTGCGGGCGCAGCAGCTGGGCAGCCGGCCCGGGGTCGCGGTTTTGAGCCTCCCCCTGCCCCTCCCCCTCCCTCGCCGGCAGCGGGGCCCGGGAGGGGCGGGCGGGGGCGGGTGCGGGCGGCCCCGGCGGAGGTCGCGGGGGCGGGGGGGCAGCGAGGGCTGGCAGGGCTCCACCCGAGGCCCGCGTAACGGCGGTCCCGCAGACACACGGACAGGCGGGCGGCGCGAGGGACGGACAGGACACACGCGCGTCCGCGGTCGCGCCTACCCCCAAATCCAGGGCGCAGCCTGTTGTCATAACCATCGAGCAAGCTGTCCAGGATGCGGGTAAAATTCTCCGGGCATAATTTCTCCTCCTTTTGGTTCTGTTCTGGTGATTCGTTTAAACTGCACACGCAAGAAAAAAAAAAAAGCAAAAAAAAAAAAAAAAAAAAAAAACCACAAACCAACAAAAAAAAAACAAAACACACACACACACACAAAAAAAAAAAAACAGGCGAAAGGGGTCGTTTTAGGAACGGGTCACCTAACAGGTGGAAACGGGTTTGTCTCCCCGGCGGAGGGTGCCCGGCGCCGCGGGGGGGGGGCGCGGGCGGGGGCGCGGGGGGCGGGGGGCACCGCGCAGGGCGCCCCTCGGCCGTCGGCGTCTACGCGGTCGCAGCCCGGCGGCGGCCCCCGCGGCGCGGAGGGCGGAGAGCGCAGGGCCGGGCGCCCTCGGGGCGGGGGGCACTCACCAGGCCGCCAGGCACAGGACGGGCAGGAGCGCGAAGCCCACCCGGCAGCACGCGGCGATCGCGGGGACCCTGCTGGCAGAGACCATGTTCGCAGCTTGCCATACTTCCAGCCTGCCCACGTTCCGGGCTCCGCGGAGGCCCCGAGCGGGGTGCGAGGCGAGGGCAGAGGCTCCGCGGCGTGCGCACACTCGCGCTCACACTCGCCCGCGCTCACACTCGCCCGCGCTCAGCCGGCCCGAGCCGCGGTGGGCGCGGGTGTGCACGCGGCCGGGGGAGGCGGGTCCTGCCGCCGCGCGCCCCCCGCTCCCCGCCGAGCTCCCGACGGCCGCGCCGCGCGGCTCCCCCCGCCCGCTCCCCGCGCCTCCCGGGTCCCCGCGGCCCGCGCCGCCGCTCGCCCACCTGCCCCGCGGGCCGGCCCCGCCCCCGCGCCCCGCGCCCCGCCCCGCTCCCGCCCCCCGCGCCCCGCGCCCCGCTCCCCGCGCCGGCCCCGCCCCCTGCGCAGCCCGGCCCCCTCCTCCCGGGCCCTCTCCTCCCGCCGGGGCGCCCGTGCCTCGGGGGAAGCGCCCGGGGCGGGGGGCGGGCGACCCTGGGGGCCGGGTACCACCCCCCGCTCCTCCCGCTGGGGCGCGGGTCCCCCTGGGGAAGCGCCCAGGACCTGCTTCGGACCCGTCCCCGGGGGCGGGGGCGGAGACGGGGCGGAGGACGGGTGACCCCGGGAACGAGGTGACCCTCTGCTCCTCCCGCTGGGGCGCAGGTTCCCCCCGGGAAGCCCCAGGACCTGCTTCGGACCCGTCCCCGGGGGCGGGGGACGGGCGACCCCGGGAACGAGGTGACCCCCTGCTCGTCCCGCTGGGGCGCAGGTTCTCCCCGGGAAGCTCCCAGGACCTGCTTCGGACCCATCCCCGGGGGCGGGGGACGGGCGACCCCGGGGACCAGGTACTGACCCCCCTCCCCGGGTCCCGCTCCTCCCGCTGGGGCTCGGGTCCCCCCGGGGAGGCGCCCAGGACCTGCTTCGGACCCGTCCCGGGGGCGGGGGGCGGGCGCCGCGACCTGCGGGGGTGGGGGGCGGGGGGGGGCTCTCCCGGGGCGGGGCCCGCGCCGAGCTGCGGGTGCGGAGGTGCCTCGCTGGTTCCCGCCGTCGCGGCCCCGCCCGCGCGCACCTGCGGCCCCCCCCCCCCCCCCCGGCGCCCCGGGCTGGGCGCTGCGGGGGGAGGAGGGCGCGGGCGCGGCGCGGGGGGTGGGGGGCCGGGGAAGGGGGAGACCAGGGAGCCCGGAGGGAGGCGGGGCGACCCCGGAGGAGCCCTCTCCGCGGACCTTCCCGCTGCGCTGCTCGTGGGCTCGGGGGACGGGGCCGTCCACGCGGAGACTGATGCACGCGGAAGGCCGCGCGCGGGGCCCCCGTGACCCGCGGGATTTCCAAAAAGCTGGTTCCCTGGTGGAACCTGTCACCGCCAAGAGTTCTATTCTGTTTAGAACCTTGTTCCGATTTTGATGACTGGCGGGCTGACCTGATAGGAAAACGGTCAGGCCAAGGGAATTTTAGGGTTTTCTCCGTTTACTTTGGTTTGTTTCAAGATCCGGATTAACATCTTCTTTGCAAAGGGGAGGCCTCGCTGAAGGCCCACGTGCTGATAGCCTGGCGGTGAGCTCCCGTGGCACTGGGCGGCTTCGGTCCTTCCTGCAAATTCCACAGGTATCATTCTTCTCCAAAAGAGTCCCTCAGGGTCTGGGCCCGGTAATTATTATTTATCTGTATTTATTTTTTCTCTTATTCCAGTCCATGGCACATAGTACAAGGATAATAAATATTTATTGAAAGGACAATTAAACAAATTAATGAATTGCTTGCTCTCAGATCCATCCTAATTAATTTGGATGAAATTCAAGCTTACTCTCTTGGGGGAAAAAATGGAAATATTAGTGTACTCCCATATATGTCATGAAAGCATAATTTGTTTCCATAGATTCTCCTCAGAAAAGCTGATAATACATCTTATTATTATATCACATTATATCGTTTCTCCAATCTTAACGCTTTCCTATACTTCCTAGAACCTAAATCAGAATTTTCAATTTTTTTCTTATAATATCCATTAAATACATATATAATATTTTTTTAAAGATTTTACTTATTTATTCCTGAGAGACACCCAGAGAGAGGCAGAGACACAGGCAGAGGGAGAAGCAGGCTCCATGCAGGGAGCCCGACGTGAGACTCGATCCAGGATCACCCCCGGCCAAAGGCAGCGCTAAACCGCTGAGCCACCCGGGCTGCCTGCATATATATATATATATATATATATATATATATATAAATATTTTTTAAGACAAGATCATGGCTTTGGGGAAAAGAGATTTTGTATTGTTAAAGATAAATTATTTTTAAAATTCTAAGTTTAAAAATGTGAAACTAATACCTCCCAAGGTATAAAAAGAAGATTCATCCCTTCAGTGTAGCTACTTCCAATTATAGTTGTGTTAACTGGTGTATGGTTTTTAAGGTCAACTGAAGATAATAGTAGAGATATATCATTTTATTTTATTTCACAACTTCTCATTTATGCTATCTTTTATATTACTTGAAGTTATATGTTGAGTGTTAGTGTCTGAAATCTTTAAAAAGTGTATTTTTGTCACTCTGAATTTAAAAGAACTGTAACATTAAAAAACAACTTACCATAAAAAGTTACAAATATCTTTAAATATGCTATTACTTTTTATATAGACTTCCACCCATTATGACTCAGATTGTGAGTGAATTCTTATGATTGTCTCTATATAACTGTGCAGAAATACAGAAGTGTTAAAAGTATAACTATAGCTTCCTTATTTAAAGTTAATAAACGTCTTTCATTGCTAAGTTTTACAGAATTCGAAGTGGGTTCAAGTGCACAACCCCCAAATATCATTATGTTAAGCCAGCCACATATTAAAAGTTTATCTTAAAGGCTTATCTCTGATATGGTGGGATGAGAATAATATAGATTGCCCTAGTGCTGAAGCCATAGGATGGGCACTTCCGAGTCCATGGGCCTATGAAATGCCCTAAAAGTCCATACAAAATTTTATATTCAGGTAACGATGTGCATTTTTCTGTGAGGCTTTTCATCAACTTTCATCAGATTTTCAAAGGCCCAGGACAACTATAGTACAGACTAATGTTTTAATATAAAAGGTGACATATAAAATAGAAGAATCAAACAGGTGAAAAATATTTGTAACTATTGGGTACCAAACATTTCTATCCCGTTTGATGACCCTATCCATTGCCAGCTTCCATAGACTATTAGGTAGATCTTGAGTCTACACTAAAGGCACTCAGCTCCATTTATTGTCAATTTACCAAACATCCAGCTAGCCTGGTACCCAAAAATTTGGGGTGGTAATAAAATGAATTTGAAAGAATTCAGCTTGCTTTTCTTAGTTTCTATTAATTATTTCTCAATTGTATATGTGGAGGTGTGTGTATTTTCAACGTTTCTGAAAGAAAATACTACGATCAAGTGACAGGTGCTCCTGGTTTTTTGTTTTTTGGGTTTTTTTCTTTTTCAGTATATAATAGTAATGATTAGGAAGGAAAATTCCCGGGTTACCAATAGTGCCCCAAATTTAACTGTTGTTAAATTTGTTCCAAGTGTCTGTCTTATGATTTTTTTTTCTTAAACACCCTATATTAATTTTCTCATGCTGGAGTCTAGAAGTCCAGGATCAAGGGGTCAGCCGGGTTGCTTTTTCTGAATCCTGTCTCCTAGACTTATCTATGGCCATTGTCTCCCTGAGTCTTCTCATGGTCTTTTCTCTGCATGCATGCATGTTGGTGGTCAAGTTTCCTTATAAGGACACCAGTCCTGTTGGCTCAGAGTTCACCCTGAAAACCTCATTTTAACTTAATGACCTTTTAAAAATCCCTATTTTCAAATACAATCACTTTCTGAGGCTCTGAGGGTATGACTTCAACTTAAGATTTTGGTTGGGGAAAAAAAAAAAGAAAAAAAAAAGATTTTGGTTGGGGGAGGGGACACAATTTAGTGAACAACCATAGTGATCTTCCTTCAACTGTATTTAAAACAAAATTAAAGGGCAGCCCTGGTGGCACAGCAGTTTAGCACCGCCTGCAGCCCAGGGTGTGATCCTGGAAACCCAGGATCAAGTCCCACATCAGGCTCCCTGCATGGAGCCTGCTTCTGCCTTTGTGTGTGTGTGTGTGTGTGTGTGTGTGTGTGTGTGTGTGTGTGTGTGTCATGAATAAATAAATAACATACATATAATGAGTTTTAAAATTCATAAAGGCATGCTTGACATGCTTATATCAACAATAATGATGGTGATAATAATCTTTATTATAATAATAGCAATTATCCTTTATCAATAGCTAATTTCACTTAAATCTTCAGAAAAAATATTTATGGTTAGATATTCTTTTTCTTTTCTTATAAATAAACTGAAGCTTAAATATCTTAAGTAATTTGTTCATGATGGACCAAAAAATCTCCCTGGAGAACTACTTGGATAAAATGCAATTTTTTGTTGGTGTTTTATTTGATATATACATATATTCTGAAATGATCACCACAATAATGTTAATTAATACGTCCATCACCTCACATAGTTACTTTTTTTGGTATAGTTGGTGAAAACATTTAAGATCTACTGTCTTAGCAAATTTCAAGCACACAATACAGAATTGTTAACTATAGTCACCATGCTGTACTTTAGATCCCTAGAACTTGTTCATCTCATAAAGGATGGAAGCTTTATACCCACTGGCCAATATCAACCCATTTCCCCCACCTTCAGCCCCTGGCAACTATTCTGTTTCTATGAGTTTAACTTTTTTAGATTTCACATATCAGTAAGTTCACACAGTATTTATCTTTCTCTATGCTGTTTTATTTCAAGGGTGATACAGGACTAATACAACTAACTTGGTAAGTCCTTTGGCAATAATTAAAATTGAACATGATTATGCCCTATGATCAAGCCATCTCAAGCCCATAGAAACTCTCAAACATATTTGCAAGGGAGCGACAGAAAAATAATATATCGTTTTAAAAGTGGAAGATAGCAACGAAGCAAATGTCCTTTAACAGGGAAATGGACACTGTGCACTGTGATAAGAATGGAGTACTACAAGGTAATTAAAATTAGGCAAATCAGGCATATGTCAAGAATGT